TTCAAACATTAAGGTGCAAGTGGAAATCCTGTAAATAGTGTTAGTGTGTGCAACCTCCCTGCCTGTCTCCTGAAAGTGCTATCTCAGCAATGTGAGGCTTAGGCTTTAACGTAAATGTTGGCATATGTTGCTAGTCTGAGTTGTGAAATGTTTAGCAAGTGTACTCTCAGGAGTTTGCAAGTGTGTACCGTTTGTGGTATGCATCAGCTTCTGCCTGGAAATGTGTAACTCTAGTCAGGAAAGCAAAGAGGCCTGACTTACTGGACAACTTCACTATAAAAGGGGAAACTTTTTGTTTCTCTTAGTGTAGGATGTACAATTTAAAGGTAGAGTTTGTGCTGCTCCTGCAGCCAGGCCTCTTCCCAGTTGCTTGGAGAGTACCTGAGAGGGAATCCTCTAATCAGAGGATTTTTATCCTGTCCAGCAGTGTAATTGCTTATGGTTTTCCCAGGCCTTACATTAACCCTCCCAATTAGTGGTTGACTAAACCTCTTTAAAACCAGTTACTATCCACTTTGCTCCCTGGATGGAGGGGATCTTACTGTAGGCTGTCTCTTTAGTGGCTGCCTCTTACCAGTGCTTGTTTCTGAGCTGTGGCATAAATAAGAATGTATGGAAGAGAGGATGTTGCATACTGACCTGGAGAGGTACACCTGACAAACTCTGGTGTGGGAAGGGCTGTGTGCCATGTTTAAAGGTGGACTTGCAGGTTCATTGGTTTTTAAAACAGTTCTTTCCTCAGGTGGTTACCTGTTAATGCCAAGCATGGGCCAAGTGTAGTTGTTCACATGTTTGTGATCTGGCAAACCCCTTTAGTAAGGAATACTGCACATTGACCCTGGAGGTCACAAACTGAAAACACAGCAAGCTGTTCACATACCATGTACAATGATGGTTTTTATAATCTGTTGTTATATTGGAGCTTCATATTGAGTAGATACTAATGGCAAGTGATCTTTAACCTGACCACCTTCCGAGTGAAGGACAGAGCCTGCAGCAAGTCCTACTCTCTGCTTAGACCAAAGAGGAGCAGAACAGGAGGGAGATACTGGAATGGGTCTTGTTTGCTACAGAGCAGAAGGAAATTTGAAACATGTTTAAATTCTGTAGTGAGCACTTCAGCCAGGTGTTTGGGTAGCAGCAGGGTGACAGTAGCACTCTTGAGAGGTGCCTTGAAAACAGCTGGCAAAACTTAAAGGCATGAACTTGGTTAAAATGATTTAAAAAATATTTGAGGTCTACCCATAGAGAATGAATGGTAAGCTTTTGCAGTGCTGGATAAAAAACTGTTTAGTAAATAAGGCATCAGTATCTGATGAAGAACAGTTACATTTTTGGCTTGCTGAAGTAACTTGCATCCTTTTTACCTGGCTCTGCTGCTTATAACAAATAGAGAATAAGAGCTATCTCATGCAGAGAAGCCTTGATTTCACCATACCTGTGCTTCTCAATTTCGGTGTACACTATAAGCTGTAGTATGTCTCAAGTCCCCATTGCTCCACTACTTTTTTAACCTTCCCTCTGTGTTAGATTAACTTAAAACAACTGGTGCATTGCAACTTCCATGTGTTACAGCCAGCTTGGATTCAGTAAATATTAAGACGTCAATCTTGTTTCCACTTGTAAATCAGTGAGCATTTTGGGGGGAAACAGTTCTTAATGGAAACTTCAGGCTCTGTTAACGATGACCCTGGCACTGAATGGCTACGTTTGCTGGCTCTGATTGCTTTTTCTCAACTATTTTGGCTCTGTCACTTCTCCAGTCAAACTCGTATGAAGAAGAATAAGTTTGGGAACAGTGGTCTTGGGTGACTGTTGTGTTAGAAGGTAATCTTCATCTTTTTAGCTCTAATTTGTGGTGTCCTATTGTGACAGAGGAGCATTACAGCCTTGTTGATTGCTGCACTCTTTAGAGGCAGGGCATTAGGAGCATGCTGGAAAAAACAGATCTGGCCCTGTGGGGAATAGCAGTTTTTAGCACAATACAGAGAGTGGGACTGTGTTACACAGCATGACTAAAAGAAGGTGAAGAAGTTAAGCTGTTCATCACCAGTGGGGAGAAGCCAGCCTCAGACACTCGCGTAACTGTAAGTCTTTGACTTTCTTTTTTTAAAGGCCAGCTAATAAAATGCAAAGATGCCTAAATCTCCTCTTATTAATTCACCCTTGTTGGCTAAGTTTGGTCCTAACTTATTCGGACTAAACAGTGCCTTGAAACTAAATAACTTCTAACTCGGAAACAGTGACTTGAACTCCTGAAGTTGGTACTACTCAAGACAAATGATGTGCAGAGAAGGGTCTGTCAGAGTAGAAGAGGGACAGGTAGGTGTGTGTTAATTATTTTGGAGGCTTCTTTTGAGGAACAGAATTGGTGGCTCAGTTGGTTCAGAGAGTAGCATTCTAGTTTGATTCACTTGCCTTTACGTTGTGTTTATACAGGCGATTTGGTGGAATATTTAAGACAACCTGGTTTGTATGTGAGGTTGGACAAATCTTTCACGGCATCCATGTTTTCCAGTTTGGTTGTTTGGAAGGGGGATTGTACTTGCAGGGGCCACAGCTTCCCCTCTATGAACTTAAATAATAAGTGTTTATTTAAGAGATGTTTCCTCCTTCCTATTTTTAAATGCCTAAAGGGGTAACAAATGTTAAATCCTCTAAAATGGATGACAGAAAGGGGGAATGACTTCTGTGGAGTGCTAACAAGGGGAGAAATGGAAGTGCTCCCCTTCCCTGCTCAGCCAAGCATTGCTTATTTCAGTCTAAGATCTGGGGTTTTGATCTTGGATTCAAAAAGATTTGTGCTTTTCAAAAGTTGTTAACAGTTTATTAACAGCTTATTCTGTGGGAACTGCCTTGTTGGCAGAAGGTGGGAGGAGGCTGTTTCTGAAGAAGACAAATGCTGGTGAAAACCACTCTGAACTGAGATGGGTGTGGACTTGTGGGAGTGAGAGGAGAGCATCTGGATCTCTGTAAGGGCTTGAAAGCAAGGTGAAGCTTGTGACACAGCTGATACACATGTTATGTGCAGAATTGTGACATCACTGTCCACAGCATCTTACTGGACAGCTGGCCAAGGCCTGAAGATGAGTATGTATGTTACAGCATATCTTTCCAGCTGTCAAGGATAGCAGCTGTGGGAGTCACTGGAAGTAAGATGCATCTCTCCTGCTTTCACTTCTGTTTCATTTTCCTTTCAAACATGTCACAGCCACTTGATGAGACAGATTTCATCCACTACCCATCTCACTGAATTCCTATGTCTCTTGTCTTGCTCAGGTTCCTGTGGAGCACTGCTTGCTTGCACATCCTTCTTTTCAGCTCCCTGCTTGGTCCTTGGTGATCCCTCCCAGAGAGCTGTCTGCACTTCGGTCACGAACCAGTCTTGGGAAAAACTAAAGTCCTTGTTTCCATTCGCATGCCTCTGTCTTACTTATGAACAGTCCCATATTCTACCTTTCCTGTCTTCTCCTTTGACTTTGTAACACTGTGCTTGTCTGTTGGTTCCCTCTTCCAGTCGCACGGTACCTTCATTGTGCTCTTCAGCAGTCAGCCTGCTCCCTGGCAGTGCTCTGCAGGCACACCCCCTCGTTGGCACCTTCTTTCTCCTCCTGCTTATTAATTCTGGTTCTCATGACATCATTACTATTTCTGTTCTGCTCTGCCTCTTTGCATTTTTTTTAATTATAGATAGTTATTGGCTGAAAAAAGGAAGTATAACTAATTTTGGTGTAATTTATAAATACCTTATGTCTGTTCATGTAAGAAACAGGTTCTTTACATTCTGTTTGAGACCTAGTACAGATGGTTAGGTTCTTCTGCAGCCTTGCTTGTTGAAGGTACTCTGGCTTTGTTTGGGTGGTTTGCAACTGTTGAAAGCTTCAAGGGTGAACGCTTACCTGGTTTCTAATGGTAGCAAGCTGCAGTATCATTCTGAGTTCAAAGAACCATTGATTGCCCATTTGATCTTTATACTGCCTGGTTGCTGTTGTGCTTCGTGTGTCCTCTTTCATTTTACAAATAGAAAATATTACCTAAGTGTGATTAGGTGGCTGCTTTGAATTAATAATACTTTCCTTCCTTTTTTAACATAAAAAGACATCTTTGTGATTATTTTTGTTGTTGTTTTTGTTTTCAGCCCTATCTGTTTTGATATGATTGAAGAAGCCTACATGACGAAATGTGGACACAGCTTCTGGTAAGATTTTTTTGTATTGTGCAAAATGTCCATCTCTTACAACGCGTGAGGACTGATGTTGCTGTGAATCCCTTTCCTTCAGAGTTCTTGTTACTTTTCTGTCTTCTGTCCCTGCACTGAAGAAAGAGGTTGAAATAAAATTTTAAAAGATGGGTACCAGTTAGATTAAAAAAGTTGTCTTAGTGTTTAAAACAAAAAAAATTTTGTGCCACCATATTTCCTCTGTAAAGAAGTAAAATGGTCATAAACTGCTGGTAGCATCCAGTACCCAGCGTCAGAACAGTTTGTCAGCTTATCTCTCGGGAAATGCAAGGTGTCTCTTACCACCTGAAGCAGTGGATCTCACTTCTGTAGAGGTCATGGGAGTGCGTGTTGGTGTTGGGAGGTCCTCCTTGCCTTTGTGCAAGACCATATACAGTTTGAAGTGGCTTGCACATTGTCTCTTGCAATTCTCTTAAACTTCTTAAGAGAGGATATGCTTCAGGTTTGTTTCTGTTGTATTGAATTGGTCCAAGGTCCACTTATTTTCCACTGTGTTATATCTCTGGCTGTCATGAGGAGCAAATGTTTTGTGGAGAAGTACAAGAACCCTCCAGGGGCAGGTGTGGAACTATCTGCTGCTCCTGCTCTCAACTAGGGATTGGAATAAATGTTGAACCATGATGTTTTAATGTCCCGTATACATTACTCTTACAGTGTCTGTTAACTAGAAGTAAATCACCTACCTTTTACAAGAAGTAATACTTTCGTAGCATAAAGCACTTCCTCAAGCTGCAGATTCAATTAACTTTCAGAAATGTTTTGACCTGCAACAGGTAAAATAACAGCTGATTTTGTGCCTGCTATGGTAACGCTTTATTCTTGTGATCTGTAACTTTTAAAAAAGTCCAAGATGAGAAGTATTCAGATATCTTTATTTAGAAAGAACAGAGCAATGTTGTCACATGATGTCTTTACCAGCAGTCAACATGAAGCTAGGTTCTTAGCGAGATGCTTAAACTTGATGCTAAAGTGTGTCTTGTAGTTACTCTGTCCCTCAAATAGCTAACAGGTTAACAGAGAGCACATCTGAAGTCACTTCTGGTGAGTACAATAGCCAGGGGGTGGGGGGGAAATGTAAGAAGTTGGTGAAGGTGTTTCTTCTGTGCCCAATTACCCAAAATGCACAATAGCTTTTAATGTTGTTTGATAAGTATTTAGTTAATCTAGAAGAGTGGCTTCTGAATAATGCAGTCTGTTTGTTAGCTCTACCTGTGGAAGAGGGGCATAAATTCGAGATGGAAGTGTGGCTGAAGTATCCACATTGCCACAATCTTCGGGGAAATAAGAGTGAAGTACTTACTGAATTAGCTTTTGTAATCCTTGCTGAGAAACTTTGCTCTCTTTCTGCTGTAGTATGCTCTGAGTTAATATTGGAACATTTTTGACTCCACTGTAGGATCTTGCAATGCAGCTTTTAGTTGGCAACACAGAGTACACATCATCTAAGGTTGATATTATTTACCTTGTGCTTGTGTTTTGTTTCTTCATGTTTGCTCACTTTTTCTGTTTCTTGTTTTTTATGTTTAAACAGCTATAAATGTATTCACCAGAGCTTGGAGGACAATAACAGGTGTCCCAAATGCAACTATGTTGTGGACAACATAGATCATCTGTATCCCAACTTCTTAGGTGAGCTCTAGGCTTGCTTGCATGAGAAACATCTTAGTTGTTAAGGAAGGCAGGCACTTGTAAATTTGTTGTGTAAATAACTGGCTTCTGGATATTGAAAATAAAATCCAAACATCAGCCCTTTGGTCAACTGTGTTTTTTATAAAAAAAAAAAAGTGGTTAGTAGTATAAGTCACTAATACACCACTGCCTCCAGCAGTTCTGTATGCTGAGTTACAGGAGTGAGACTGACTTGCTGCTGTTTGCGTATTAAGAAAACCAAAACAAAGATGTTTTTCTGATGGCTAGAGATTTGAATCTCTCTATTTACTTTTGTTTTCTTGCGCTGTTGTCTGTCTAATAATCAAGAACATGCCCTGTTTACAAAGCATGGACACTGAAGGGGAGGAGGCTGAATTACATATTATACTATTTTGGCTACTGTAGTGAGGTCCATGTGATGCATGTATGTGTAAATTAGATACAGAGAAAATATTCATACACATACCTATATGCAATCCTAAATGATTGCTGCTTAAACAGAGGAGGGAAATGTTTCTAACTGGAAATAGAGTTTAAAACTTTGATCTTTTCTCCCCATAACAAAGGAAACACATTGCAGTATGAAATACAAAAATTAAATCAAATCTTGATTTCATGTGCTGGGATATCCATTTAATAGTAAATAGATTAAAAGCCACAGTAGCCAAGGAATACTTCAGAAATGGACATCCTGATTTAGACCCAAGCATGTTGTGCCAAAGGTGCTGCTGAGGCAGGTCTTGGAGGATGTGTTAGGCCATAGAGCATTGCTTCCATGCATCTACATTCAGGGGTTTCAGATCTGTACTGGGGGGGAAAAACAGACTTGAGGAGGAAGAGCTTGTATATGTGTGTGTGAAGTGTTGAGGTTCTCTTTCTCTCTCTGCACCATTCACTAAACTGGTGTGAAATAAAACTGTAGCAAAAATATCTTTAAAAATGCATATAGTGATTAAAGGAAAAAGTTGTTCTATTTGGCTGTGCTTGTTTTCAGCCTGTAGTAAATCAGTTAATGTTTTAATCTCCTTCATACTCTTCTGTGATGTACTTCTGCCTTGGAGTTGAAAAAACTGTCGAAGAACCATGGGTGCTTAGAAAAAGGAACTGAAGCAATTTGGGGAATGTGTAGGCATTGTATTTGTTGATGATTTTTTTAAAAAAAATCTTTATATACTTTACAAAAAAAATCAAGGAATAAATTGGTGAGGAAAAATGGAGACATCTTCTGTTTTAATTGCTGATAAACTTACTGTGGAATTAATAACTAAAGTAAAAACATTGAGGTAGAATTTTTCATACTTTTTTGTGAAGTTTAAATCCAACTCTAACATCCTATTTATTTATGTTTTTAGTCAATGAACTTATTCTTAAACAGAAGCAAAGATCTGAGGAGAAAAGACTCAAACTGGACCATTCAGTGAGTAGCACCGTATGTTCCAACTTTCTTACTTTATATTTATTTAATGGTTCTGTACAGCAATTGTCATTATGTGGCTTAATTTAGAAGAAATTATACTGTTGAGCTGATGCTTTAACTTGCTTTATGTGGGAATAATACCAATATCAATGGCAGTAGATCCCTTCAACCTTGTTCTTCCTGCCAGCAATATACGTGTAGAGGCAAGCTGTGTTAGCATAGCTAAGTGTCATATGATGTATTGAATATAACCTGGGAAACTACCCATGGAAACACACTTGTTTAAAGGTAACAATTTTCATTCAGTGTTGGAAATTACAGCTACAATGAGAGTAATGGATGATTAGAAGTGCCACGGGCTTGTCTGATCACGTGTGAGAAGCTGTGTCCTACAGGGAGATTGGAGGAAGGCTAATACCAACCACAAGAGGGAGAAGGATGTGTTCGGAGTACTGGTGTTCTGGCTCTGATCCCAGATAAAACTGCCTGGATATCTTCTAGACTTGCTTCATGTCACAGAATCGGAACATGATCTGTGTTCTCAGTTAATGAAAACCCCTGTACAGCAGCAGTGGATGCTCTTGTACATTAAGATCAAAAAGAATGTGACATTAACCAGGAAACTTGCATATTTGTCTTGCTGTGTCTGGCTTCCTTTCTTGGCTTCTGTAATTCATAAATAGGGTTGCAAAGTAATACTAAAAATCATGGAACCCCTGTTTTCTTAGTTAAAAAACCCCTCTGTTGAAGTGTAATTAATTTAGGGGCTGCATTGCAGAAACCAGTGCTTTCAGCAGTTGCATGCTTTAGGAAAGAGCACGCTTTAAGGATTCATTGGTTTACTCACAGTTTTTATATTCAATATAAAATATGCATAAACCATATCTGGCTTAAAATGCACACAATTGACCTGAAGGCATGTACAGTAACTTCTTGGAAATTGGTTCTACTCGTTCTCATAGTGCACCTTTAAAAACTATGCCTGTAGATGCATCTATGTTAGATAACTACCAGTAAGTGGAAATCTACTGTGACTTCATGCCCAAAACAGTGTTGTGTCTACCTTTTGGCAGCAAATAAAAAATACCAACATATCTAAAAAGAGAAACTTGCTGTTGTACCAGCTCCTTAATGTTCCTGTTCTCCTCTTGTATTACTTTTGGTATTAAGAGAAGTCATTCAAGACGCATTGCAGTAAATGCACTGTTTCTTGGTCATGGATTTGTCTCATTAAGAAATCATATTAAGGCATCTTTGAAGCTTTCTGACTAGTAGTACATCTAACTAGTACATTAGTATGTTAAAGTTTGTCTCAAATCTTGTTGACTTGCTTAAAAATTATGTTTTTTCCAGTTGTTCCAGATTGAAGTTGAGTTTTTACCTGTGTGGTTTCCACAGGTTCTGTTGAGAGTTGTGTGAAAAGTTAAAAGCTGTGTATTCTATATGGATGTTACATATTTTATTTTTCTTAATCTAGCCAATACAAAAAGACTACAACCTCTTAGAAAATGTCTGGTTTAGACTGGATGGCATTTCTAGTTCTTGCAAATTTAAATATCTTGATCTAGTGTCATAACTTTTATAGGGCAGGATTTTTTTAAATCCAGCTTTGTTTCTTGGAAGGCTTAAAGACCTTTCAGCTGCTGCTGTTGGTTCCTGAGGCTTTTTAATGTAAGGCTATATTAGCATTAACCTATTATTCAGGTTTTCCTGTGCTAAAAGATACTTTTTTTATTTTTTTACTGACAACAAGAAGAGCAAACAGCCTGTAGAGAAGAATGGGCTGCATGGTAGCACTCTGGCTGTCTGAGGAGTCCGTGTCAGCTCTAACAGGTTGAATGAGAAGATCACCCTGATGAGCTCCATCTTCTTTCCTGCTCTCACATTTCCCATGAAAATACTCTTAAGAGGAGTAGTGTGGGAGGTGAGAATAGAAAAAAATAAGCTGATGCTACCTTCTTCCATTTGAATTTAGCATGAGGGCTCTACCTATTACTTGGTTAAAAAAATTAAAAGGTATTGCCACTTAACAGTATTTCAGATAGATGTAATCCAACTAAGCTTGGATAAACATGTTTTTTTTTTCTCCCCTTAGAAATATGTTCTCAGAAACTGGGGCACAAATCAGGTAAAATTGTGGCTGTGAAATAATCTCTTCCTAGCAGCAGCTATGCTCTCATAAAGCACAAATACCTCCCAAATAAGATAAGCAATTACACAGTAGGACAGAAGAGCTATATCCTGTACATGTGGGAGAATTGGGAATTCTGATTCCTGAAAATTGGTTTGAAATTTTTACAAAGGGATGAAATGCTGCAGTGTTGCTTTTAATATCTGTTGCTGGATATAGCTCTGGATGGCTTGAACTCTCCGTCTTTCCAACATTTCTTGTTCTCTTTCTAGAATGGCCATAGGTGGCAGATAATTCAAGATTTGTTGGGAACTGATCAAGACAATCTTGACTTGGCCAATGTCAACCTGATGCTGGAGCTGCTGGTGCAAAAGAAGAAGCAATTAGAAGCAGTAAGAAGTTTCTCCTGTCTTACTTAAATGAACACCATTGTCTAGTTAGCAGTTTTTTCTTTTCATCCTTTTATCTTCTTGAAGTAAGATTCTATTGCTGAATTAATTGCTCAGAATTTTCTCTTGCATCTTGGTGTTGAAGGGTTGGCCATCTTACTGACCTTTGTAGCAAACTAATGTTTCAACTGTGATGCCTATAACATGCTTATAGTGTTGCTGCCAGCAGCGTTGTATAAAGAAGCAGGGAAAATGGAAAAGGATAAGAGAAAGTGGCTAGCAGAACAGAGAAATGCATATGAAGATGTTAGCTAATTGTCTGTTACACAAGTAAATATCAGATCTTTCTTGGTAATAAGCATGACGAAGTCCAAAATATAGGTTAAGGAATAAACTCAGTGAACATATGAAAAAGATAACACCTTTTAGTTTTTACTGGAACTGATAGAACCTGAATGACTGCCATCCCTGAAGACTTTTTTAGCATTTAATGCTTGAAAGAAAAGTTCAGATGTCTTGTTTATGAGGTTGGTTTGAAGATTTACACAACATGAAGCAAGCTGTTCCTATGATTTAACTGAAATGTAGTTGGTTTGGGATAGTTCTCATGTGTTTGGCCATTCCATGGTGTTGGTCTCAAGTGACCATTTTAGAGACAGACCTTCTAAATTAAACTGGATTACAAAATTTGGCCTAGGGAACTTTAGGTAGGAGGGTGGGTTTTGATGGTGCTTTAAAACAGGTGAGGAAAAGTTGTGTTGGGAATGGCTTATCTTATTCACTCTTGCAGCATTAATTTTTAGACAACTTGTGGTTCTGATGGAAGGAAAGTAACCCAAAAATATGTTTACTGACTACTAGCAAAACTGTTATGTTACCTTATTGCGTGGGGACTTGTACCTAACTTTTTTATTTTGGTTCAGTGAAGTCATGGTGGGAGTATGGTTTTTAACTTCAGAATAAAACTTTTTTTTTTTTCCTCAAGCCTTTTTGTGTCATTTGTGACAAGTCTGAAACAAAGAAGGCACAGGACTGAGTGTATGGGTGCTTCTGAGCAGGAATATCTTTCAAGGATACTAAGCATTAAAAACAAAAACACAGCTGACACTTAATTTAAAAACATTTTTCCTTTCTAGTTTTACTTGGTTAACTTTCATTATCACCACAGGGGTGGGGAGGAAGAAAATAATCTCAGAAAAGTAGTAGTCTTGCATCTGAATCTCTTTTCCTGTCCTATCTGCCTTTAATGGATTCTGCGTGCTCCTATGTCTTGATCATTTTTGAGTGTATGTTTCCAGTCCTTTAATAATAAATATTTCAGTAGGTTGTGAAAATAAGTCTCAGAATGCTGGCATAGCATTAGGGCTATATTAATGCTGGTATGTAGGTTTTACTTTTTCTTTCCTCTTGTGCTTCTTATCTTGCCCTGTCAAGTTTTTGGCCAATTTGGGTGAAAATATTAAGCTGATGGTTGAGGTAAATGACCTGTTACAGAAAGATTGGAAAGGGATGTTTTAGTTACATCAGTGACTTTACTGCTGAAGATTCCTCCAGAGTGGAAGACAACAATAATCTCTTTACATAAACACAAATGTTAATTTTTGGGGGAGGTGTTTTTTGTATAAATATTTCATGCTTTAGTATGTTACATGAAGTAGATGCTAATGATCTTCCAGGGTAGAAGATGAGTCTGAAGAACCTGTATCCCAAAAACAATTTCAGATGCAGTAGCAAAAAAACTGAAAAGCATTTCAACTTATTAGTAAGTCTTCAGTAATGCACAAACAAGAGCTGTTACAATGATTTCTGTCTTCATGTAAAAACCTGTCATGAGCCAAACAAAACCTTAAAACCTGTGAGGCAAAGTAAAACTACCAATCTTAAAACTGCCTTAAGTTATTTTCTCTTCCTCACCTCTAAATGAAAGCTGTTACTGTGCTAAGTGTGGATTTCTGTGTATAAAATGAATGTTTCTCTTAATGTATATGGAAGAGTTACACTTCCTTACTTACTGTGTTACAGGAGTCCCATGCTGCCCAATTGCAGATCCTTATGGAATTTCTCAAAGTTGCCAGGAGAAACAAACGAGAGGTAACTTGCTTTGTGTTTCAGTGGGTGAGGTGTTGTCTGCTGCTTTCTACCACTTCATTTCTATTTACGTGATGTGTTAGCCTGGCATTATCTCTGCAAAGAAAAAGGCAAAGTGTGTTTGGGGAAGTCTCAGGCAGAGGACACATGGGTTTCAAGGAAAACTGATCTCTCTACATGTGACAGCTTCAATTTTTAATTGCTTGCCTTTCCGTCTCACCCTGGTGAAGCACGTGGGAAGAAGGGAGCTTGAGGATAGAGATTCCTCACTGTAAATTTACATCAAATTCTTGAAATGAAATTTTTCTGTGATGGGAAAACTGAAGGATGGGGGAGGAGTGAAATTGTCACTCAGTTTTTTTCTTTTAGTGTATCAAATGCCATGACTAATGCTGTGTCATAAAAGAATGACTATTCTGTGCTCTTTCCTTATTTGTCTCGAAATGAGTGTCTCAGGGAATGAAAGGGGGTTCCATAACCACATATGCGGTCTTTCATGGTTTGGGACTTATCATTTATAATGTCATGCAGTGTGTAAACCCTAGTACCAGAAATATCCCAGAAACCTAGAAAAACAATCATGAAAACAGCAAAAGGACAAGCTTTCTTGGAGGTCATGGGTTCTGATGAAAGATGTGAAGAACATAAGACCAAACGGTGTGACTAAGGTTGAACTTGAACTATGTAAAGGCAATGTGTGTAAGAAGCCTTGTCCAGAATGGATTGAGGGTCTGGTTATGGAGTCATCCCAAAGCAAGTTGTTCAGAGTCTGTCCACCAACAGATATCCATGGCCTTCTGACCAGAACCAAGAGGGGTAATGCTGTTAGTTCGGAAAGGAACTAACCAAAGGGGAAAACTGAGTCCAAGATGAAGTTGCACTTGTGGAGTATGAGACCTACTAGGCTAGGCATAGTATCCCATGAGAAGTGATGAAATACTGTTTATTAGGATACCTGAATGTTAAAGGAAAATATGAGAATCAAGATATTCTCTAGTGTACTAGACATATCAGTGAAGACAAAATGGCATGCTTCCACTTCTGATTCTGTTTAGTATGAAGCGTACTACTTGTTTGACCCTTCAGGGTTGGAAAAAGCAGAGAAATATGTATTACTGTTTTTTGCTTAAACAGGAAAGGCACAAGCATTGCTCAAAACCATTGAGGTATCTTTTAGCTTTCATTTTTTTTGAATGCTGGTAGAAGTTATTTTATAGCGACTTAATCTACAAACACCTCTCAAATCTTCAGAATGTCTACTTTCATTTTCTTGTATTCATACTTAGTATTATGCAGAGAATTTCAGAAGCTTGACCCATCTTCACTGCAGAATTAATGCTGCCTCTGGCCATTGTCCATCACCACTCACTAAACACCTTCTATCAGGATTTGGTGCAGATTGAGGGACTGTTAAGAGACTGGGGAAGTTTCCTGGTAATGCTGCCTTTGTCTAGGAGGTGAATTGAAGCAGGTGCTTCAGGAGGTTCATACACAGCTTAGCTGGGGTGCTCTTCCTTGAGTAATTCTGTGGTGATTCAATGCAGGGTGTTTGGGGCAGTACCATGAAGTCAGTGATGCCTTGCTTTCTCCTTCCCCAGTTGAAACTGAGTTAGAACAACTCTCACAGAAGGAGGGGCTGTTGATACCTACTTTAATTTGCATATGTTGAGTGGGAAGGATGAAGGGAAGGGCAATTCATAGCTTCTGGTTTTTAACATACTGTAGCACGGTGTTCCACCACTGACTATGATTTTCAGCACCTGTGAAACCTTTCCCATCTCATGTGCATTTGCCCTTGGCTTTAGTAATAATGTACAAGGATAGCATCTTTTTTAAGGCTAAAGAAACTTAATCTTGGTGCAGATCCTCTGAATATGGCCTTGGGAACATCCTGAAGCCTACTGGGACACATAGCTTATTTCAGATCCTCTCTGTCCCTGCTTATGTGTTCCCTCTGTCAAGACTTCCTCTGATGTTATTTGTTACTCCCCTTTATATTCAAACATGAAATGCAGACTGTCATATCTCAAAAGACTTCTGTGCAGGCCTGTCCATTCTGTCCTTGCCATAGTGGTTATTGTCTGGCCTTGCCATTTATTTTGAAGGTCTATTGGGTTTGCGTGGCAAGGTTTTGGTAGTGGGGGGGGGCTACAGGGGTGGCTTCTGTGAGAAGCTGCTAGAAGCTTCCCCTATGTCCAATA